GCAACAAATGAAGACATTTATTGAAGAAAGTTTTTTTTCTGTAGAGAGTAGACTGTTGTAATAGTCAATGTGGACAAGTAGAATGCACTTTTGCTACAGTTTCATAACATAATTGTAATTTTTTAGAATTCAGATGAAGTGCCTCAATGTCTGCTTTTTGTGCATTCAATTGCTGCTGACGTGCTTTAAATATGCAAAATTTGGTGTTGATTATACTACTGCTAAGTAGAACCAGACATCTCTTCCTTCATAAATGAAATTTCGATTTCTAGTAATTCTGAAAGACTGAGTTGCATTTTCGATTACCTTTTTGAATAATGGTTGTAGCTGGTATTTGAAAGTTAATAGAATATACTGATTTATTCTAACACTGAGAAAGTGTTACTATGTCATACCATTTTTCTTGGACAAATTCTTATTCCCATTCTCGGTTGATGTTTTCAATTTGAGAACAGGCTCGATCGCAGTACTGATGGATATCCAAGGTTAGAAAGGTGGTGATGTACAATCTTAAGAAAGTGGTGTATTTGAAAAAAAAATCCATTGAAGTAAGTGAGCGTAGAATTGAGCCCTCAAAATATAGTTTTGCCCGGCCAGTTGTCTCTGAAGAGATGTAGAGATGAAGAAACACATCTGGCAAAAGTAAAAGATTTCAGTCATTTTCCTTATTAGTGACTTTCTTTCCCATTGCTCTTCATTTCAGCTCAGGTCTGAGTGCAAGAAGTTAAATACGGCTATTATTTGGTTCTTGCGACTCAGAGTAGAAAATAAAATTTCATCGGCTTTTTCTAAGAGGAGTAAGAACTTTAATTAATTAATTAATTAATTAATTAAGATTAAGAACTTATTGTCGAAAAGGACAATGTCTTCTGATAGGAGTCAGGATGGTCTTCGTGTATATGCAAAAACCTCATTTTCGCTAAAAGTGGTCATTATCTGGTTCTTGCACTCAGGTCTTCAATTCACGTTTAAATATAATTATTTCAATTGAATTCGAGTAATGTTTTAGGATTCATCATAAATAGTGACTGACAGAAATATGTCACCACTTAGACCTTTATAATATCTCAAAAAAGCCGAAATCACATGGATCCCGACTCGACAAACTTTTTTTATGTGAAGTAGCTTATTTTATTCTATTTTCAATAACCTTGAAAAACTGCATTAACACGTTCAACTGCTTCAAATACTCTTTACCTTTTGACTTCAATTATATTTTAGTCGAACTTATACTCATCCATTTCAGTAATCATTCCTTCACCACCCAAAGGAACACTTTCACTCTCCACTTATAATACAATACTACCCTACAAAACTTCATCCATTGTTCACACTTTCAGCATAACACGTAAATCATTCATAGTAAATTATTCATTTCGCACGTGTTACCCGCAAATACGTAATAAACATAATTTATTACAACTGAACCAATAACTATTTCGTGCAAAACACGCATATGCATTGATACTTTCTTACGATAATAACAAGCAGAACAGACATCAGCAAAAAATAGTTTTTTCAATAATTTTATCTCTCTTGTACACTTAATACATTCGTGCCTAGAAGCAATGTATTTCAATATCGATGTCACTTTTATACACAGAATGAAGATCATTCTTAAATATGAACATTTCGGTTTAGACAATCGAATGTGAAAAGAGTGCTATCCTATCCTACAGAAATGCAATTCTGTGTATGGAACACAATCGTAGATCTCAGTTATCTTCTGGTGGCGAGTAGTTAAACTATTGCTCAATGGTGATGTAATGCTAGTCGAAGAAAGTCAACGAAAGTAATTAGTTTTTAAATATATTAAGATTTATGGTTGTAAATCATTGCTTATCGTACTCCTGACCGTCAAAGGAAGCTATATTTATATATAATGAGATCGAGAAAAGAGCAATAAATTCTATATTCACAGGATACAAGTTCATTATTACAAAAATACAAAATTGTGTCAGGTCTGTCAGGTTTAACAATAATTTCAGAAGAAGCACCGTTTAACTGCGAGGTTTCAATATTCCACAAAATGTACCTATCGGAGTGGGGTCTTAACAATGTACCTGGAGAAATACACAGTTCGAGCAAGAAAGTAAATCACTATCAGAGCCTACCCCAGTCTACAGTTCTTAAGTGCACGTCCAAATCTGAACCGGTGGCGCGTCCAGCAGCCCTCGCCTCAGGATGGGGCGAGGTGGAGGAAGGGGGTTCACACGCCAGCCCTCCACCACCCCAGATTCGCTTCCGCGCGTCTGACTCGGCGGTGACGTGCCCCCGAGGGTACGAGTGTCTGTCGGCGAAATTATTGTTGCGCCACTACAATATTTACATACATGTACGTACATGTATGTAGTATATATTATGTGACGGTGCTTCGCTACAATAATGAGTCTGGTTTTTATAGCATTTATTTATTTATTTATTTATTTATTTATTTATTTATTTATTTATTTATTTATTTATTTATTTACATGTATTTTATGTGAATTTTCTGTAGTGAGCTTTATACACTATATATACACTATATACACTATACATACATACATACATACATACATACATACATACATACATTCTCGTATTCACAAACGTATACATTACGTTCATTTATGTGGATCAGTGCCTGAATAATCTATTTGTGGAAGCCGTTATTCAAGGGCAATGTTTGAGGAATTTACAAGATATTTTGTCGATTATTTGAGTAAAGTGAGATGATTAACAATGTCTCTGTTGCGTACGTTCTGATAGTGGTTTGTCAACAAATCATTGATAGAATATTATATTAAGAATGGAATATAATGTGAGAGAACTACTTCATATTCACCCAAAACATCGGAATTGTCGAAAGCGCAAATGTACTACAACCGAAACAACTATAAGACTTAATTGATACAGGATTACCAGAAAGTTTTTGGAGAGAGGCGTTTTGTAAGGCAACTTGCGCACAATGTCACACCAGCCAAGAAGAGTAAAGTACCAATGTCTATTTGAAGTATTAAGACACCTTCTTTCAAAGGTATTTGGTTGTAAAGTATTTGACAAAAACCGATTATGTTAACAGAAATAATTTTGACCAAAAATGAAGTTGCACTCATTTTGCAAAGCATCAGTTATTCATGATATAGAAGAGCTTACAGTGTATATGATTAGATAGACCATGAAGTTGACGAGAGTAGTGACTTTGTTTTAATTGAAACAGAAACAGGTTATAATGCAAATAAGCAAAATTTGAATAATGATTTTGATTGTGCACAAATTCTGTTGAATTATTGACACAGAAACTTTAGAAGACAGGGATGAATATGTAACAGAAGTTGAAGATGTTTAGAAAATCAACCTGAAAATACGGATAAAAAAGAAATAGAAAAGTTTGAAGAAAATAATGAAACTGAAATAATTTGGTTGATTCCAGGTAGATACTATGAAAGCACAAGTATGTGTGTAGGTTTCATGAGTTGAATGATCGAAGATCTTCTATGGAAAGGAAACCAATTATGAGATATTCTTCCACCATGGCACGTGAAAAGAATTCGAAGAATACAAAGAAGAAATGGATTCAGAATGTAGAGATAAGTGGAAACTTACAATAGACACAGAATTGAAAATTATGAAGTATTACAAAACATGGGAAGTTGTGAATAAACCTAGAAATGATAAAATAATTGTTAGGAAATGGGTTTTTAAAATTAAGGATAATACCAACAATATTAGATAAAACAGTTGTTTTCAAACGTATGTAGACAAAGATAAAGTGTTTGCAGCAGATTTGAAAACATGGAAAGGGTGTCGAAGGGAAATTTCTAAAGAAACTTACTTGTAATGTATGTAATGACTTAAAAATTGTATAATACCTTATTTCTATTAAAAACTCTAATTTGTTTCAAAGGTTGCTAAATTTACAAAAAAATCCTGTTATCACGTAGTGTTGTAAGAACCGATATTTTGTGGGTCCTTGATTCCGAAATATCGAATGACGGCAAAACGTCCATCTGTCCGTTTGTAAATAACGCTAGCGACTAAATTGTTCAGCCGATTTTCTCCTAGGTTCATATTACTCAATGGATCTCGCTGATGTCGCAACCCCTTAAATTTGAAACCAATATTTTAATTTTGGGGGTGTTTTACTTGAAGGCCCTAGGACATTTTCAAAAATAATAAAACGACTTCATCGTTTTTAATGAAATTGTGGTGTTGGATGGAATGAATGACTTTTAAGAAAATGGCGCAGGTCACATGTTCATTAAATACGCTGATTTTTCGAAAATCTGAGTATTTTTTGCGCAATTTTGCTTGAAAACATGGGTGAGAAAGTACGTGCTGTTTTAGCTCCACTAATTTCATATTTATACTGTTCCCTAACAACCTGGCCATGGACTGCGCCTCATCTTTCCTTTTATTTAAAAATAAAAGTTGCAACGGATATCATGTTTTACTGTGTAGAATTGCAGTCTGTTTTCTTGAGCTCTGAGATCGCTACCGTAAATCATAAAATTAAGATAAATTTTGAACACTGATAAACGCGAGCAAAATTGGCAAGTAAATATTGCAATATAAACAATTTACAAAGGCAAATCTGTCTCTACCCCTTATCGCCTGTAGGAATGGACTTATTGCTGCGAGAACATAGAGGATTACATGAATAACTATAATCGCTACAGTGGAGTGGGCAATATACGAGTAGTTTCTTCCTTAACCCTTCCACACCCTTTAGACACACATGCATGCACATGCCCAACACTTCTGCCAGTCAGGAACTAGAAGCTTGGAGCTTGTCTCGGCTGGGGTGGTCTTCCGCTGTGGGAGGTACTCGGAGGGGGTGGGAGTGGGGGTAACCGGCACGCAGGTCGTCTCCATATCCCTCGTTCCAACGGGGCAGCAACATTGCCACCTCCGGCCCACGCCTGGCGCTACCCTAATGAGCATAGTAGCGGTCGCGCCGCGTGCCTCTGGGCGTGAGGTGGTGCTCGCGTCCCCACCGCTGGCCCCGGCCCCGGCCGCGGCCCCGGCCTCGTGGCTCGGCGCGGCCCCTCTCCCCTCCTCGCAGTCATGGTGGAGCCGGCGTCCGCGCCGCCCGTGGCCGCGCGCCTGTTCGACTCGCCCGCCCTCCGCCAGGTACGTCCTCGCTTGCGTTCACGTCGCGTCGCGTCGCGTTGCGTTGGTGTACAAGCAATGCCTTTGTGCGGGGCGGGGCTCAGGTCATTCGGACACACTCTGCCGGTACATGACCGCTTTCGGAAATTTGATAGAAAAAAAGAGGTCATTGACTTTGAGGGTGAAGGCGTTCTCACGAGAGTGACAAGCGCGAAAACCAGGGAGGAGGGGTAGGTGGAAAATGAATGTGATCAAAGTTTTGTGAATAATTAACTTCAAGTGATTTTGATAGTCGTAGTCGACGTGCAAGTTGTTGGACTCGATAGATCGCCGCCCCCCCTTTCCATGCTGTTTCCAATGTGGTTATCTCCGCGGTGAAACATGGGCCGGGTCTTTACTCCCTCGAATTCTCATTTTTAAATTGGAAGCGAATGTCGATAGTGTACATTTTACCAGTGAGAGCTACAAGACAAAACATACTCAACTAGAATTACTTCAATTGCAACTTCGAACCATGGTACTTTATAATACGACGAAGGACTTGCCGATTCCTACGAGTAGTATGTTTAAAGACGTATGGAATATATTCGTCACCGGCAAATAAAATTCCTCCGAAATAGCGTAGAGTGGTCGAAATACTAGATCTCGGAACCACGGTAAACAAGTAAATGCTGCACCAATTGGAAATAAGTAACGATAGGTGCAGGGGTTTGCGTTGTAATGCGTCCTTCGATGCGATGGGGTAGGCGATTTGTGAAATACGTCGACATTGCTCCCACCTATTCCACAAAGAAGTAAATAAGCAATTTTATTCATTAAACTTATTACGAGTGTGAAGGATATGGAGGAATGAAAGAGAAAAAGGGATTAAGTGAGAGGAGAAAGTGAAAACAATGACAATAATGTTCTGTTCTGAGAGCCGTGAACGTTATGAAAGGTGTAATCAGTTGCTCACTTATTTTAAAATACTACTGCCTTTATGAATTTTGTTACTTTGTTTCTTCCACATTCACCTAATCTAACGTCTAGTTGTAATAGCTGAATGAGCAGGTTTACGACAATGAGGAAAATAAAATGCATTTCTAGTAAATATCAGTTGGCGAAAATGTGTACAAAAACATACTAATGACATGTTCTGGTGAAACTTCGGCAGTAATGTACAGTGTTTTGATATTATTTTCTTTCTTCTTGTTTTGGTTTCATTTTCCTCGTTTTTCAGGGAGATCTGTCATTTGAATGCTATTGGTATCCTTCAAATGGTTCTGAACAAATCTAATGTTTTGTAAGCCATGTCTTTTCAATTTCGTGTTGTTTATCACAACCTTTCTCAATTGTTACGTAATCAGTCATCATCAGTATGCAATCGAAGGCAATTTCCTGCAAACAGATGTTAGGCATTGGGAGATTATTTTTGCAAGGGATTATCAGAATACAGGTGCTCTGGCGAACATTTTGACAGAATATTAGTACAAATTAGCAAGTCTGGTTAAAATACAATAAATTGTGAGTGTATTGAGACCCAAATCTTATTAATTATTGTGTCATAATTAATCCATACCATCATTAAATTTGTTTAATTAGATCCCAATAAAATGTGTTATTATTGAACCCTGACAGATTATTTGCCTGGGCATATCTTGTTGCCCGTTCAGATGAAATCTTATCAGGCTCATATTCCAATATTTGGGTTCAGACACCTCCGACATGTCTATTTTGATTATATTATTTTAATTGATATGTAGTGTAATTATTAAGAACACGCAAAATCTATTTAAATTTGACTAAATTGAATAAAAATTCAAACAAAAATAAGCGTTCCGTCACATTAATTTCTTTACTTCTCTTTAGAAAGTGGTTGAGATCATAAAATTCATTTGTATAACACGCTCTGGCAAATAGTTTTATACACCTTGCTGTTTGAAACGTATTGCTAATAATTACCATAACTGGTTTTCTTTCATCTGGTTCCATGCAGGAAAATACTTCTCTGTTGTGGGATGATGATTATTTCCTGTAATGAAACAGAGACTAGTATTAATCATTATATAATTATTTTAAATTCGTTCAAGCGAGTTTGACAATTGAGAATATTAGTTTACCTATTCTTCACAAATGCGGAACAGTCGACTATCGTCAGAACTCTGACAAATTGTAATGTTTGCGCAGAAAGTAAAGGTTATAACAGTTGTTACTCCGTGATATTTCAATACTGAAAATAAGAAGTGGTCCTGATTCTCGCACCCCCATGTAGTCTCCTTTGTGTGCTGAGAGCTTTAAAAGTACCGTCAGCAGATGATAGAAAATATTTTGTTTACTCTGTTGCCTGAACGGAAAAGAAAGTTTTGTGTGGTGGTGGTGAAGACCCTCCAACGAAGGAACAGAATCAGGAATTGGGCCAAGGACGCACAAGAACGTACAATACAGTCGTATTTCTATATTTGTTTAGCCAAATGTATAAGATGTATAAATTTAATTTGAACGAAATCTTTCATATTTACTTCTGTGTGTACATTATATACCGAAAATGACAATGAAGCATTGTCAAAATTATTGATAAATGAAATTTCTTGAAAAATATTCCATGCTGGAAGTCACAAATAAATGAATATCAGGATAATTAACGCCGAAACAAATTAAATCAGGAATTCACAACTTTTTTCTTCCATCGACCCTTCTTAGAATTGTTTGCTTCTGCAACTTCTGCTTCTCCTTACGCTTTCTCTATAGTACCCAGCATCCATGATCATAACGCAAAGAATTGCACGCCAATGCCTTATAGATAACATTTTCGAACACCAATATTCTCGTAAACATATCTATTTTCAATAATAGAAGGCGCTTGCACTCTTGATAAGTTGTGTTTCTAATCTACATTGTAGTGCATTGGTTAAAAAACTGAAATTTTTGAGGAACTGGCCACAATGTTTCTCCAGTGGCTATTGCGAGGAGTACTTTCTTGCGAGGTAGAGTACCGTTGTGAATGCATAGTTATAATTTCTTGATTTTTCGAAACATCTTAAATCCAATGAATAAATGAAGGATACGTAAGAAAAGGAGTGAATTTCTAATTTATTATTTGTTGCTATAGATCATCAATTAATTTTTATCTGGGAGGGTGGCTTTCAGGTCGACTCAACCGTCTTTCCAAGTGAGCACCAGGGTCATTCCAGGGGGAAAGGCGGCTGGAACGTTGTGCTCTCCACACAACCTCCTCCTTGTGCCGACGGCGACGAATAGGTGGAGCCCAACCGTCTCCTCCCCCTTGGGCCACATCGACTAGTGAGCACAGGGGTACCATTACCTTTATATCATCAATCAATTATCAAGCACATTAATATTTTTGTTTGTAATCAATGGGATCTCGATTGTACTGATCAGTTGCCGGTTCATATTCGGCTATAGGCCCCTAATCGACACCTCGATCATCATTGACCCCTTCAAAATTTCATGGGCCCCCAGAGAGTCGATTCCGATCCCGTTCGAAACCTCTAGATTAAATCAAACGTTACAAGGACAACTGTGTAGTAACTCTACAAGAAAATGTTCTAAAAATAAAATAGTAAAATATATCTTGTGAAGGCAGTTCTTTATACTTAAATTACACTTTTGCGACTTTACACTCACGATGGCTTCATTCCCACGTTTCTCAAGGAAATAAACAACAGCCCTGGCTTGAATGAAGTCCACGTCAAGGATTTGTAGCAAGGCCGTTGGGCGAGAACTGAAATGACACCAAAATTGGATTATGAGAAAGATTCGCGAACCTTAAGAAGGCAGTCGCAAGATAACCTTCCGCGTTGCAGATTAAGGTTATGCAATGTCATTTTGCATAACCGAGGTACACTACTCTGGGAAGCAAGTTCATGAAACGTATTTATTCCTAAAATGATGACCAAAATAAAAAGCCCATATTCCCGCAATATCTTTTTTTATATTGGTGACAAAAGTGAAGATGCATCCCTCCCATCGAAAGTAATATTAAGAATGATCTGCAAACATTAATATAAAATTTAAACTTTAATGTACTCTTACACGACCGTATAAATAGTGTTGTCGGCAGTCAAAGACGCAGTCAAAGACACTCGTATGTTCTTTTAGTCAAGAAAATGCGACTGGCCAAGAAACCCTCGCTTCTGGCTGCCAAGGAACCGTAATCTTCTCCCTACTGTAAAAACGTCTCTAAAAAAGATCTAAGTGTATGTCGGGCCTAATAATGGTACAGACGTTGAAGCCTGAGAAGAAAATAAAAAAAAGGCAAGTAGTTGTTTGTCTTCCGAAGGGCAACGAGCGTTTGCTCTCACACTTCGTGAGCGGTTTGGACGTTGTTCACCTCCTGCACTTGCTGGACGCAATTGGTCATGAAGTCGCTATCGCGTCTTCCGATAACCACGCGACACGCGGCTCAGCGAATCAGCTATGAGTCACCGGAGGCCTAACTATCGGCCGCATTATTCCATTCATGCGATTTGTCCCGGGCCACGAGGCGGAGTCGTGGTCGTTAGCGACGCCTTTGTGACTGGCGTCACTCGTCGGCAGGGTGAAGTGTGTGCGTGCGTGCGTGTTCGCGTGCGCCGTCGTGACGAGGGCACGCTGCATATGTGGCCATGCGAATGAACTGGAGGGGCTGGGGATCATCCCCCTAGATTGATTGGTTGTTTCCAGACGCGTTGTCTGTGGTCACCAATTCCGTAAGGGTAGGTCATGCTATCGACCGGGAGGTGGCGGTGTTCCTCTCTTGCTGAAACGGGATCAGACGCCGACCTACACGTCGGTTTGCGACGTTCTGCCTCAGCAGAGACAAGTTCTAAGCTCCCGACTGGTTTCGGGACATGCCTCGTAGCGTGGGGCCAACTGCGTGTGTGTATAATGAGGGAGCTCGGATCCCGGAAGAGGAAGGGAAGATTGCGCGTAGTCCGTGAGGCAGTAAACTACCGAGCGGAGCAGCTGGGCGCAACCACCCTACAGAGACGTGGGAATGGTGTTCCTGTGCTATCACAAGTCTTCCTCTTTAGATAGTCTAC